AGTAGCAGTAGTTGGTAATAGTACCTGGCAGCATAGTTATAGTAGGAACAGTAGAGTAGTAGTTGTAGTAGTAGTAGTAGTGTGTAGCAGCAGCAGCCAGTAGTTGTAGTAGGAGTAGTAGTAGTAGTAATAGTAGTAGCAGCAAGTAGTGTAGTAGTAGTAGTAGTAGTAGTAGTAGTTAGTAGTAGTAATAGTAGCAGTAGTAGTAGTTGCAGCAGTAGTAGTAGTAGTAGTAGTAGCAGCAGCAGTAGTAGTAGTCGTAGTAGTAGATAGTAGTAGTAGTAGTAGTAGCAGTAAGTAGCTATAGTAGAGCAGTAGTAGTAGTAGTAGGCAGCAGTGTAGTAGTTAGAAGTAGTAGTAGTAGTAAGTAGTAGATATAGTAGTAGTAGTAGCAATAGTAGCAGCAGTAGTAGTAGTAGGAGCAGTAGTAGTAGTAGTAGTAATAGTAGTAGCAGTAGTAGCAATAGTAGCAGCAGTAGTAGTAGTAGGAGCAGTAGTAGTAGTAGTAGTAGTAGTAGTAGTAATAGTAGTAGTAGTAGTAGTAGTAGTAGCAATAGCAGCAGTAGTAGTAGTATGAGCAGTAGTAGTAGTAGTAATAATAGTAGTAGTAGCAATAGTAGGAGCAGTAGTAGTAGTAGGAGCAGTAGTAGTAGTAGTAGTAATAGTAGTAGCAGTAGTAGCAATAGCAGCAGTAGTAGTAATAGTAGCAGTAGTAGTAGTTGCAGCAGTAGTAGTAGTAGTAGTAGTAGCAGCAGCAGTAGTAGTAGTCGTAGTAGTAGTAGTAGTAGTAGTAGTAGTAGTAGTAGTAGCAGTAGTAGCAATAGTAGCAGCAGTAGTAGTAGTAGTAGGAGCAGTAGTAGTAGTAGTAGTAGTAGTAATAGTAGTAGTAGTAGTAGCAATAGTAGCAGCAGTTGTATTAGTAGGAGCAGTAGTTGTGTAGTTAGTTATAGTAGTAGCAGTAGTAGCATAGTAGCAGCAGTAGTAGTAGTAGGAGCAGTAGTAGTAGTAGTAGTAGTAGTAGTAGTAGTAGTAGTAGTAATAGTAGTAGTAGTAGTAGTAGTAGTAGCAATAGCAGCAGTAGTAGTAGTAGGAGCAGTAGTAGTAGTAGTAATAATAGTAGTAGTAGCAATAGTAGGAACAGTAGTAGTAGTAGGAGCAGTAGTAGTGTAGTAGTAGTAATAGTAGTAGCAGTAGTAGCAATAGCAGCAGTAGTAGTAGTAGGAGCAGTAGTAGTAGTAGTAGTAATAGTAGTAGTAGTAGTAATAATAATAACAGTAGTAGTAGTAGCAGCAGTAGCAGAAGAATGTATTATCATTTATTGATTTTATCAATTTAGCACATTTTAAATAAATAACTTCTTTTATGGTTTAATGCAAGTTTTATGTTCGGTTGAGGTTCCTTACTCTTATTTACATCACATTTCACATTTCCTTCTGCATATTCCCATACGTATTGTGCCTCAGGTTACGTTAAGTTGTCTGTAAGATGTATTGTACTGCGTCATCTAGTGCTATAGCTGCTAAAGTCGTTCTGATACTCACTTATGTAATATATTTCGTTACTACGGTTGTGTTTTGGTTGAGGTGACTATCACAGGGACAGGATAGGGTGGGGTGACTCACGAAATCGTAATGACACGATTGAGACTCTCTGACCGCGGGTTCAAACCCCACCCTTGGTATGGGGCGGGGTGTTACGCTGGCTAATCAACTGATATCACAGGTGGAAGTGCATTGAAATAAGTGCTGATTGACCAATAATTACATTTTAATTAGGAAGCTAGATGAAAATTGATGTGTTCTTCCTTGCTAATATATCAGGTAAATGGTGGATTATATTGTATTATATGCCATATTAATTTTATTGGGCAGCAGGTGGCACTGAGAAAGCCAGATACTGAGAACTGTAGATTATGACACGCAGGTTGTTAGGTGGTGGGTTCCTGAGAGACTCTGATGATGGCAGTGACTGAATCTGTCTGCTTCGGATAAATTATTGTAATAATGGTTGCTCACCATTTGGTTATTTTTAACTGGTATGGTAGTATTTTTTGTATACAGATCAGTATAACGGGCCAAGAGCTGTTATTCTGTTTCAGCTAATTTGAAAGTCAAGTCCTATCTAAAGTATACTACCACCCGTTGGGATGCGACTCACAACGTCGGCTAACACCCGGGTACCTACTCACTGTTGGGTGAACAGAGGCAACAGGAGTAAGGAAATATACCCAACGTTTCTACCCGTGCCGGGAATCAAACCACGGACCTTCGGTATGTGAGCTGAGTGCGCTACCAGCCGCTAATAGTAGCTTATATACTGCTAATTTTACTTAAAGTGTTCTTATGTTTTGTATTTCTGCCAAAAGCTCTGAGCGATTTATCATTGCAAAGTGCTCGTCTTATTTCAGCTTCCTTCATTCTTATTCCCAATGACCTACAAGACCCTCAACAGGCTTCAACTATCCTCTTGATGGCAATAACAATGATTATTTCTCCCTCAGGTACTGCTGCTGACGGTGGCGGCTGTGGCAGCCATGCCACGGAAATCCACGAAGAATTTTCCTAAGAAGTACGACCAGACTCTCGACGGCTTGAAGCCCACTTACATAATATACACTGACGACCCTGTGGACGACTTGGTAGTACCTCCACTTAACCTCAACGAGCATTTGGCTTCATCCTCCTACGATGAATACTTGGAGCAGGACCCAGAAGATCCAATTCTTCCTCCTGAGGACTCCACCTATATCGAAGTCTCTGAGGTGTCTGAAGGAGAGGCTCTCCTTCCACCACCTGAAGATACCTACAGCAGCCTCGCCGATCTTGTAGCATTGACTGAAGATGAATCACTTCTCTCAGCACCTGAAGACACTTACAGCAGCTACGGGGATGTTAACGTGATGGATCTTCTACCACCCCCAGAGGGCGATGCACTTCTACCACCACAAGCGAGTGACACACTTATCCCACCACCAGAGAGTGACACACTTATACCACCACCAGAGAGTGACACACTTATCCCACCACCAGAGAGTGACGTACTTGTACTACTGAGTGAAGACACTTACAGCAGTTTCGGGGACGCTAGTGATCCTGAGAGTGACGCACTTATCCCACCACCTGAGAGTGACGCACTTCTACTAATTGAAGATACGTACAGTAGCCACGGAGATGCCGGCCTCATCGATCTTGTAGCACCACCTGAGAGTGACGCACTTCTCCCACCATCTGAGAGTGACGCAGTTCTCCCACCACCTGAGAGCGACACGCTTATCCCCCCACCTGAGAGTGACGCACTTCTCCCATCACCTGAAGACACCTACAGCAGTTATGGAGATATTAGTCTGACAGATCTTCTCCCACCACCTGAGAGTGACGCACTTCTCCCATCACCTGAAGACACCTACAGCAGTTATGGAGATGTTAGTTTGACAGATCTTCTCCCACCACCTGTGAATGACGCACTTCTCCCACCACCTGAGAGCGACACGCTTCTCCCACCACCTGAGAGTGACGCACTTCTCCCACCACCTGAAGACACCTACAGCAGTTATGGAGATATTAGTCTGACAGATCTTCTCCCACCACCTGTGAGTGACGCACTTCTCCCACCACCTGAAGACACTTACAGCATTTATCGAGATGCTAGCCTGACAGATCTTCTCCCACCAGCCGAGAGTGACGCACTTCTCCCCCCACCCGAGAGTGACACACTTGTACTACAAATCGATGACACTTACAGCAGTCTCGGGGACGCTAGTCACCCTGAGAGTGACGCACTTCTCCCACCCCCTGAATACACTTACAGTAACCATGACGGTGCTGGTCTCACTGACCTGACCCCACCACCAGTCTCTCCACCCGCAGATCTCCCAACAGCGTACGATACATACATCTCCCCACAAGGTTCAGAGGCCACAGAGGTATCCAGCTACACCCAAACGCCCACTGACACCTCGGGCACTGATGTCTTGGCATCCATGGCAGCAATGGTCAAAGAATTGCCATACACTAGCTCTTACGTGGAGTTCAACCCTGCAGACAGTGATGACACGATCCCCTTCCTTATCCCACCTCCTCAAAAAGAAAAACCCGCTCAGCTACATAGTTCCTATTCAGACCTACTCACTGATCCGATGGAACTCGTGGATGAGGAAACAGCTGACGTAGAGATTTAAGCAGTACTTAGCTATCAGATATTCTCCTCACCCCCCAGCTCAGTGATCTAGGCGCCATCTGCAGGCAGCACTGTTATGCAGCAATGCAAAAGCGCAGTGCCAGCTTCCTTATGCGTAACACTGAGGTGCTCAAGGAGCTTGTGGTGTTCTTACAGTTCTGTGATTACTCTTGCCAGGCAGTATTGTCCGGTACATATACACAAATTCGTCTCCCTTGTCGGAGCTCATTGGTTTGAGCCTAAAGCGTTTAACAGAATATATATATATATACACACATATATAATATATATATATATATATATATATATATATATATATATATATATAAATATATATATATATATATATATATATATGTCGTGCCGAATAGGCAGAACTTGCGATCTTGGCTTATATAGCAACGTTCATCTTGCCATATAAAACAAGTGAAAATTTGTGTATGCAATAATTTCGCCAAAATCATTCTGAACCTAACGAAAAAAATATATTTCACTGTGGTTGTTTAGTATTAAATTATTGTAAACAAATCTAAAATATATTTAGTTGGGTTAGGCTAAAATAAATTGTTCTTGTTATAATAAGGTTAGGTAAGTTTTCTAAGATGCTTTTGGTGCAAAATTAAAAATTGTTACATCAACATTAATGAAAAAAATATATCTTTAAACGTATAAGAGAAAATTTCAGAAAGGACATAATTTTAAATGAGTTCTTGCTAATTGACCAGTTTTACATATTCGGCACGACATATATATATATATATATATATATATATATATATATATATATATATATATATATATATATATATATATATATATATATATATATATATATATATATATATATAATATATATATATATATATGTGTGTGTGTGTGTGTGTGTACTCACCTAGTTGAGGTTGCGGGGTCGAGTCCGAGCTCCTGTGTGTGTGTGTGTGTGTGTGTGTGTGTGTGTGTGTGTGTGTGTGTGTGTGTGTGTGTGTGTGTGAGTGTGGTGTGTGTGTGTGTGTGTGTGTGTGTGTGTGTGTGTGTGCTTACCTAATTGTGGTTGCAGGGGTCGAGGCTCAGCTCCTGGCCCCCTCCTCTTCACTGATCGCTACTACACAGCTATGTGTATGTGTGTGTGTGTGTGTGTGTGTGTGTGTGTGCGTGTGTGTGTGTGTGTGATTAATCTTAACTGACAGACCTATATATTAATCTCTTGGTAACTATGTTAACCAGCTGACAACACAATACCCTTCTGGTAACCCTTTTACATTAACCAGCCGGAACCCCTTTACTATAACCAGCTGGCAACCCTATGCCTTATGCAGCTGGTAGTCCTTTGTATTAAGAACAAAATTTATAATTTCTGAATCAAAATACAAGATTCTAGAGAGTATTACACACACACACACACACACATACACCAAAATAAGATCATAAGCAAGGATGAGGACTACAGTAGGCCTACTGACCTATGTGAGGTCCGACTCGCACCAACCCACACCTACTCATGTTCTTTTCCAATTTATTTTAAACCTAACCAAAGTTCTCGCCTCAATGAAGCTATTTAAGATTTTTGTTCCACTCATTCACTACTCTAATGCCGAACATCGTTTTTTAAAGCGTCAACCAAGTGCTGAAAGTCCTGTCTAAATAAGATATTTTCAGAATTTTGCTTATCTTGCCTTTCATTTGTACACTTTAATGATATTCTTCCTAATCCTGCGATTTTTCAGAAAGTGAGCTCAGTCTACCCTCGTAGAAATTTTCAAATATATCAGTTCAATTTCGTCATTCTACTCTAAGTTTTTCAGTATATTTTATATCCATTCGATAATACGTATACCAAAACTGTGCAACATGATCTAATGGAGGCCTTAACAAAAATATATACTGTCCAAGCATAACCTAGGATTTCCTAGTACTACTTGTACTTTTAGATATAAGGCCAACAATTCTGTTAGATTCATTATGAATACTTATATGTTATTGTCTTGGTTTTAGATAACTGCTAACCAGAACTCCCATGTTTTTTCGCATTCGGACCGAGATCTACATTATTTAGTTGATAAGTGCCATAATTATTTTCTTTTCCCTTCATTTGTACACGCTGTATTGCATCTTCCACTTCTCCGACCACTGCATCACCCAATACAGCACTCGCTAGAGCTCTATGGAGCGCTGCCCAATAGCTCTTCTCCATAGATATAGATCAGTTCTAACCTGCCTCCTGTACGTAGACGGAATGGTGTGCGTTCTCATCAGAGTTTAATTGCTAGACTATATTAGTGCCATCGACAAACTTGTTTAAGTCGCTATTTATTCCCCGATCTAAGTCGTTTATGTATATTGTGAACCCTGTGGGACACCAGTCGTCACGCATCCCGTCTCTGATTTATCTCTACGCTGTCTTTGCTGGGTGTTGGTCAGCCACGACTCGAGCCACTGAAAAAAAACATATCCCCTTCTTCCACCCCTTCCACACACAGGAACTATAACTCGACCCCCGCAAACACAGATGAGAAGACACATCAGAAAAAACCCACCAATACTGCTTTAGAGAAACATTTCTAATGCCGCATCAGAGTGTAACTAAATTACCGAAGAGCTGTCTCAGTCTTAGACTCCCGCTCAGCAGACGGAGGATCGAGCCTTGTGCTGAATCACTTACACTAGGTTCAGCGATTAAAATTATTTGTAATAATCAGTTAGTACTAGCTTTGACAAGAACAACAACAACAACAACAACAAGAATAATAATAATAATAATAATAATAATAATAATAATAATAATAATAATAATAATAATAATAATAATAACCAGTTTTTATTTAGTCAACGTTAACTCATAGCTGTTATTATCGTTAATTAACAACAATATCTTTTAAAAGAGCGCTGTATGGCCCTTGTGGGTTTAGCTCTTGAGATTAAAAAAAATAATCGTAAATGTGTATCTGAAGCTCACTTCGTTTTATGCAAATTACTGCAACAAAATTCGCTTTTAATAAATCAGTTAAAACAATTCACTTTATACAAATCACTTAATATTTTATTTTACATAACTCATCAAGAAATAATTCACTTATATTCACTTTACATCAACCACTTAAAGATTTTTTATTTTCCGCACCTGTGGAGTAAAGTGGAGGTGTTCTGAGGAATATATGTACTCACTTAGTTGTGGTTCCAGGGGTCGAGTCATAGCTCCTGGCCCCGCCTCTTAATGGACGCTACTGTGTGTGTGTGTGTGTGTGTGTAGCTGCTAAGCATCACTAATGTTATTTACCATAACTCTAGAATAACTTCACATCCTCATACCATTTTCCTTTTCTGCCTTGCAATTTGCAATCAGTCTGATTGACCACTTAGTGTGAAAGTTCCGTTGAGCTCAAATCCTCCCCCTCTCACACCACGGTGGCTTGTTGTGCTTGTTTCTGCGCAATGCATATATATTATATCATATATTATAATAACTATATCAATATATTTTATCTGTATATAATATATTATGACACTTGATACGATAAATTAAATATTACTAATATATTTCCTATATGTATATCATTTATATATATTATATATATATATATATATATATATATATATATATATATATATATATATATATATATATATATATATATATATATATATATATATATATATATATATATATATATATATATATATATATATATATATATGCAATAACTTCACAGTAACAGTGATATCACAAGCAGAGCTACCACTGTAAAAAATAGTAGAGTTCCAAGCACTTTCGTTATTTCTCACATTATCGAGGAACACAGTTCCTTGATAAATGTGAGAGAGCAGCGTCAACACACTAGCTTTCCTACGAGATAACTTACCTTCAATCTACCTATAACAGCTCTACCAACATTGCATAGCTTCTGATGACATACGGTAACGTGTGAAAGATCTTGAACTAGGCCCCACCTCTTTACTGGTGGCTACTAGGTCCACACTCCCCCGATTCCAAGAGTCTTATCATACCTCTTCTTAAAGCTATGTATGGATCCTGGCTCTACTACTTCACTCTCCAGACTGTTCCACTTCCTCACAACTCTAAGGCTAAATAAATACTTCCTAACATCCCTATGACTCATCCGAAATTTTAACTTCTAGTTGTGTCCTCTTGTTTCTGTATCTCGTCTCTGAAACTCTCTTCCCTTGTGTGTGTTCTTACCTATTTGTGCTTGCAGGGGTCGAGTCACAGCTCCTGGCCCTGCCTCTTCACTGTGTGTGTGTGTTTATAAACCAGCAAAGACAATTTTATTTTTAAACATGTAATCCTAAATATCAATATATCATTATTCACTGTTACATTAATAAAAAAATTAATATTTTGTTTATAATTTCTTCTAATTTATTCCTTAATGATAATTCTTTACAAAATTAATGGGACATATTAATGAAAAATGTTAATAAAATGAATAAAATTAATAACTGACAAATCTTTTAAAATTGCCAGAAATGCATTTTACAATTCTGAAAAAAAAGAAAAAGATTTGAAACTAAATATATATTTGTTCTACTGTACCATTGAAATCTTTATATAACTTCTCTCCTTAACAACTTCAAAATTCAAATTGCATTTAGTCTTGATACAGTAAGAAGAAAATATTTAGATTTAGAATTTCTCCCTCTCCCCCCCCCAAAAAAAAAAAATACTGATGACTGTGCCTATAAGATTTCGGGTTAGAAATGGAGTCGATTTTAATTTTATGAAAATTGTAAAAAGTCGTAAACTAAGATTACAACATAAGTATAGGATTATTTTAACCTTCTATTTAGTTATATGACAGATTTTGACCAACTGATTTTGAAAAAGTCGAGAAAGGTGAGTCAAGCAAATTTATAACTGAACGAAATATAATAAAATCGACCTGTATAAAAAAAAATAATACTGACAGCATTATGAATATAAATCTTGGGTTGTATAAGTTATGTTAAAATGATTATCAGCTGTGTCAACAACATTCTCTTTTTCTTGTCACTATTAAATATTACAGGAAATGTGACCTGATTAATACGCCACAAGCATTGTACAGAAATTCCTAGACTTTGTGAGGAAGGTCGTATGTAAGGTCTCACGTGTAATGTATTACACGTGACACCTATTCTTTTTTAATTTTGAGGGTTATTTTAACTCCCTCTCATTCCCTCTCACATTGGTCGGGGACAGATTATTCGAGAGAAGGTAATTAGGAACATGAAGGCGCAGCTGGAAGTTGGAAACACAAATTAATCACAAATTAATTTTCAGTC